GACCAGTAATCCTAGGTGAGGCAGGGCAGACAAAATGTTCAAGGTCGTCTTTCCCTATGGACCAAGTCTGAAGCACATGTAGACTGCGGAGGAGACCGAATCTCCTAAACAAGGGTTGGGAAGATACCGCAGTGGTTAGGAGCACTGCTTGCTTTTGAAGGGGGCTCAGGTTCAGTTTCCAACACTCACACAGCAGCTCACAACCCTCCGCCATTCCCAATCCAACCAATCTCCTGGCCTCTATGGATATTGGACTCACACGGTACGCTTCCATGCAGGCAAAACACTCATTCAAATAAAATAAACCTTTTTAAAAACAAACAAATAAGCAAAAGGGTACAAGGGCAAACAACTGGGCTACTATTCCAACATTTATGATCCCAGGCCACCAAGACCTTAACTCCGCAGCCTCTAAACTAGAGACTCCTTTTTCAATCACTAAGGTATTATTATATAGGATGCTTAGGGCCTCTGTTAGCAGTTTCTGTCATGGGGGATGGGATTTAATAAATTATGAATAGCCAAAGCCAGGGCTTCATACCCTCTCCCTTGATAAACATTCCTGAGATTGCAGGGGGCCTCCTGATACCCAGCTGGTGGATGGGACTCTCCAGTAAGTGATGTCACAGAAAGAAGCTCAGTCTCCACCCCCACCGAAATTCTCAAGGAACACCAGCAAGATTGGCTATAGATGTCCCTCAGTGGTAGAGCACTTGCAAAGCCCTGTTTCCATAATGAATGTAGTACAAAGGGGTGGATGAAGAAAACAAACCAAACAAACAAAAAAGACCAGAAGGCCACAACGGCTCAACCTACCTGCAAATCCAACTCAGCTAAAGTGTAATATTTCAGGTCCCTGGGATTTCCTAAATCCACCTATACTCTTAAAGAATATCACCAAATCATGAGACCTCTTATAACTTGTAGGTTGTTCCTGTTCTTTCTGCAACATCGGCATGAGAAAATGGGCTGTAGCGTGTTTTTGTGCTTCCCAGTTTTGTGTGTGTGTGTGTGTGTGTGTGTGTGCATCTGCTTGTTTGTTAATGATAGCGAGATTTCAAGCTGCAAATTATTATAAAGATTCTCAGCAGTTATGAGTCCTAATAATATCGTCTTTCGGCAGAAGTCTTGTAGAGTTTCAGGCATGCTTCTGAAATTCTATGAATGTGACTCCTCTGGGAAGTTAATGTCCTTTAACTTCAAACCAATTCCAGAGAATAGGAGACCTTCCTCAGCGTCTACTCTGATAGTCCATAAAGCACAGTACTGGGAAGTCTCTGCTCTCAACTTCCTTTCTCCAACTACAAAAATGCAGATGAAGCAGGGACTTGTTTGCAATTTACTGTGTAAATAAAGCCTTTTCTCGGAGCCAAGAGTTCATCTCAGAAAGAAAAACAGACCCACATGAAAACACTGGAAATGCCAAGGGCCTCCAAACACACCACCCTAAAGGCCACTGTTTTCCAAAAGAATAAAATCCCAAAGTCCTTCAAAGCAAAGGCAACGCACCATTAGCCTAACAAAGCAATTTATATATAACTAGGTTGGGGGCATGTGTCAATGTCTGGGGACATTCAGATTGCCATACCTGGAGACAGGTGCCAATGGCCTTCCATCAGTGGGTAGAAGCCAAGGAAGCAGCTAAATGGATGACAGTACACAGAATAGACCCCACAGCAGAATACCCTTGGTACCAAGATGGAAAAACTGTCAGCCTGCAGATGGTGTTGAGTTACTCAACATAAATAACATAGCAGGAGAGTTCAGTCAAAAGCAGACAGCGCCTACTGGACAGGAAGCAAGACTGATATTCACCATCAGAGACTGACTTTCAAGACCCTGCCTAGGATTCACCAGATCTGTGATCTCAGAGTACACCATTTTACCAGTTCCGAGATACATGCTCATATGAGATCTTCAAACGATAATCACATCATTAACAAAAGAATGTGTCCTCTTAAATTGGGTCAAGCTACTCCCAAATCAGAATCAGCTAAACATAAAAGCATCAATTAACAAAATCATAATTATAATTAATAGCATATAAATATAAAAATAGTAGAATAATTATAATTAATAGAAAATTAAACGGAAAATAATTATAATTAATAGAAAGTTAAACAGAAAATCCTTGTGGTCTACCAAGAACCCAACATATAAAAATTGCATAGATGTTTTTTTTTTTTTTTTTTTTTTGTTTTTTTTTTTGTTTTTTCGAGACAGGGTTTCTCTGTGGCTTTGGAGCTCGTCCTGGAACTAGCTCTGTAGACCAGGCTGGTCTCGAACTCACAGAGATCCGCCTGCCTCTGCCTCCCGAGTGCTGGGATTAAAGGCGTGCGCCACCATCGCCCGGCTCATAGATGTTTTTTTTAATGGAAAAAGAACTATTAGAAAAAGTATTTAATAAGCTTCAATGGCATTACAATAGCTACTGGAAGAGGAAAAGTTGAAAGTGAACTCCAGTTGAAGAATAATTTCCCCTGGTATCTATCAGAGCAGTTGATTTCTACCTTGTAAGTGGCTGTAAATAGACACATTTCCTTCATCATTTTTTTAGATTTTATTTATTTTTATTTCACACATAGAAATGTTTGTCTGAATGTATGTCTGCATACCGCGTGCGGACAATGCCAGAGGAGGCCAGAAGAAGGTGACAGATCTCCTAGGACCAGATTTGCAGAAGTTGTGAGCCACCGTGCAGGTTGCTAGAAATTGAACCTGCGCCCTCTGGAAAAGCAACCAGTGTTTTAAACCACTGAGCCATCTCTCCAGTCAACCCTCCGTCATTTTTAAATAAAGTGGCAATTAATTATCAGCGTCATGTTCTAAGTAAGCACCACTGATAAACTTTTGTTCTTTTTTTTTCTTTCCAAGACAGGGTTTCTTTGTGTGTAGCCTTGGCTGTCCTGGAGAACTCACTCTTGTAGACCAGTCTGGCCTCAAACTCACAGAGCCTGCCTCTGCCTCCCAAGAGCTGGGATTAAATAAAGGAGTGCGCCACCACCACTTGGCTGTCGTTCTTATTTTCACAGCCTGTGTGTGTGTGTCCTTAATCTTAAAGCATTGGCAGGTATTTGAAATACTGTTAATATATATGTATATATATTTATATATGTATATATTATATGTTAATATATGTAGAAACAACAGAACATGTGAAAATACATGTGTGTACACAAACACAGGAGCAACAGCAATTGAATGTGTATATATGCATGAAAATACAAAAACCACAAGTTGTTCTGAGTCCCATCCATTCTAAGCAAACAAAACCATCATTTTTCAGTTATACTGAGTCACTTACAAAAATTATGCAGGGGTAGTACAGCTTAGTGAGGCTGAGTTTGATTAACATATACTTCCATTTATAAAAAGCAGAGAGCCAGGAGGCCATCAAGCATGCAGAGTTTGTAAAACTAGAACTATCTTGTGCAAAGGAGGATGAAAATCTCCCTAGCAAATCATCCCATTTAAAGTAATCTCCAACTTACTTATATGGTAAAAGACCCGAGGCTAGGGGCCAGAGAGTTAGCTCAGTGGTTAGGAGCACTTGCTGCTCTTATAGAAGACACATGTACATTCAGGCAAAACACACATAAATGTAAAAGAAAACAAACACACTTAAAAATGTCTTAAAAATCCTAAAACTTCATATTAATTGATGTATAGTTCATTCCATCTGCTTCTCAAACAAGGGTGAAGAAGATGTGTGGGATCTTTTTTTTGTTGTTCTAAAGACGTCAGCCAGACGTGGTAGGGAAAAGGGAAAATGGAGGCAGGAGAGTCAGAAGTTCAAGGTCATCTCTGAGCTACACAGACAGTTGAAGGCCAGATGCTGGGAATACTTGGGCAGAGAGGGGGGCGGGGAGGAAGAGAGAGAGTGAGAGAGAAAGGGCGGGAGAGAGGAGCAGAAAATAAATATATGCCAGGTGAGGCACTATTATGCATGAAAATTGTCAGTCACCTTCATACCACCCAACACCTCTAGGAAACAGAAAAGATGACATTCTCAAGGAGACTTTGCCCTTAGTGAGACTCAGCTCTGCCCAGAAGAGGCTCTCGTTTCCCTTAACCAGAAGACCTGAGAAATTGGCATGTTGTCTGTTGATACAGGTTTATACACGTTTAGTTGGTAAGTACCGAGATGGATTGCGTTTTAAGAGCATTCCCTTTCTAAAGCAACCTAAACACACACACATGCATGCAAGTGAGACTAAGGTCTCTTTCCTTATGATCAGAACTCAAATTCTATTTTATAAGCACGCTGAGAAGTCCCAATCAAGGTGCTGAGCATCCAGAGCGAGTGCGTGTAGGAGAGGAGGCGGAAAGTCAGCAAACACGGATGAGCTCCTGGGAATAGTGAAGCTGACTGGCAGGAGTTTCTAGTATCGGTTTCAGACTAAAAACCGGTGCAGACCAAAAGGTAAAAAGCAAAAAAACAACCAATCAGGGGCCCTAAAAACAGGTTTCAGACTAAAAAACCCGTGCAGACCAAAAGGTAAAAAGCAAAAAAGTAACCAACCAGGGGCCCTAAAAAGCAAACAAGCGCAAAGGCTATGTATGCCCAGTCCCTGGATCCTGGAACTGTTTGTTTTCCTTCCTCTCCTGGCAGCCTCGCAGGTGTAGGTCTGGCCAGGCCAGGAGTTACAGGGGACGACCAGGCCCTTCCTCGAGGGGGGGGTGAGGGCGGAACGGGAGCCATTGCAACTCCCAGCCACGTTGGGAGTAGCCCGAGGGCCGCCAGGCTGGAGCCAGAACCACACAGCTATGGCTGCCCAGACCCCAATCTCCAGGCACAGGTGACCCCTGCAGATGCGCCCCCAGCAGTGCCCCGAGACCCGGAACCAGACTCCATGCACAGGTGACCCCTGCATATGCGCCCCCATCAAGGGAGGCTGCGCACCGGACGCCCCATCTGCAGCGCCCAAAGACCCGGACGAGCCTTCTGCATTGGGGACCCCTTCGGGACAGTCACCGTGCAGACCCCGAGGTCGCCTTACCTTAGTGATGATCAGAGGCTCGCCGTGCTCGCGACCGCCCTTCAGGGTGAAGCCCCAAGGGGCGCCTCCGCTCAACCGCACCTCCACTAGGCGGGCACCGTGGGCTTCGCCTGGGCGCTCCTGCCGCGCGCGGGGCTCGGCACCCTCCATGGTGCGGGACGCTCAGCCCCTGCAGCCTCTGAGGTCCGCGGCCATTCACTCCGTCCCTACAGCCTCTGAAGTCCGAGGCCATGCACTCCGGGCAGCACCAGGGAGGCTCCAGGTGTCCAGGCCGCTGCAGAAAGAGCTTTGCAACTTGGAAAGCGCAGCGCGAAGGCCCCACGCCGGGGCACTCTGGGCAGCACCAGGGAGCCTCCAGGCGTCCCGGCCGCAGCAGAACGAGGTAAGCAACTTGGAAAAAGCGCAGCCACTGAGGTCCACACCCACGCACTTCGGGCAGCACGGGCAGGCCGAGCACCACCAGGAAGCCTCCAGGCGTCCCGGCCACCGCCACCACCGTCACCGCCGCCGGCCTCCCCTGAAGAAGCTTTGCAACTTGCAAAGCGCGGAGGGCCGGGAGGGGCGCAGGGAGGGGGCGGGGCAGGGGAAGGGGGAGGGGCATTCGGGCGCCCGGGAGCCGGGGCCCTGGTGGGAGCGCGCAAAGGGGCTTGCGATAGGACTGCGCTGAAGGTGCAAAGGGATTTTCCGGGTTTTGTGCGCTCGGCGGATCGTGGTCGAAGCGCGCGCTCCGGGGACTCGGTCGGGCGTGAGATCCCACGGTCCCTCCGCCCAGCTCTGCAGGCGCTGAGAGGCTCAGGGAGGGAAGGAGGGCCGGGTGCAACGCGGAGAGGCTCGGGGAGGGCCGGGCGCAACAGGTGAGGCGGCGGAAGTGTGCGTCCTGGACTTAGGCGGGACCTGGAGGCGAGCGCCACCGGAGCAGCTGCCCTCCAGCACCTCCCAACCGGGAGCTGAGTCGGCCCCAGCGCTGCCTCTTTGTAGCCCTTACGGACTGCTGGCGACTTCACAGGGGGAAGTTCATTACTTTTTAAATTGTTAACCTATTAATTTTAGAAATTATCTCTCCTCGACATCTCTGTAGCCAAAGATGACTGAATTCCTTCCTAATTCTCTTGCCTGAGTCGCCTAAGTGCTGGGATTACAGATGGGAGCCTCCATGCCTGGTAACACTTTACTGGGTTTCCATACCCGTGAAACAAACCCCCCCCCCTTAGGAGATTCCATGGCTTGCAGAGTAGAAAAAAAGGTTTTTTTTTCCATTGATGTTTGTATGTGCAGCTGGAGGCTGTACTTTTTTTCCCAAAGCAGCTTACACACTGAAAAGTGCAGGAGTCTTTTGATACCTAAATTACGAATCTTATCCCCAGTGACACACTTCCAAGACCGAGTATTCAAATATATGAGCCTATGGGAGCCAGTGTCATCAAACCACAGTGTTTTCATAAATCCATCGTTACTGTGTGCAGCCATAGAAATCTCCATTCTTCTCCATCTCTATCTTCTTTTGACATAGAATCTTACTCTGGAACTTATTGGGTAGTCCAAGCTGGCACCCAACTCTGGATGCAATCGCTTTTTCCTCTGGGTTGATGAAATAACAAGAGAGTCCCACCAGTTTCCTTAAAATTTTATGTTCATTATATACTAATTGTCAGGTTACCATCTGCCACTTTAAAGGATCGTACATTTTTTATTATCAGTTTCTTACTCTTTTATTTTTGTTTTATGAGACAGTTTTTCTCTGTGTTTCCTTGGCTGTCCTGGAACTCACTCTGTAGACCAGGCTAGCCTCGAACATACGAGATCCACCTGTCTCTGTCTCCCAAGTGCTGGGATAAATGGCATGTGCTACCTCAGCCTCCTTCTTAGCATATTTATCAATGCCTAACATGAAGACTCTAAAAGAGAGTTCAGAAAATACAAACTTGCACCTAAGCTTAAGAAAGAAACCGAAGCCTGGTGGCGATGGTAGCAGCAAATACTCATACACATAAAATAAAAAATAAATCTAAGGCAAGGAATGTTGTCATTCATATGGAGATGCCATTCGACGGTAGGAATCATGAATCCTCAATATCAAAATCAGATAAAAGGCAGTATTAACTATTTTCTCTATAACCTACAGAATTCCTACGAATTTAGTGGCAAGACAGCTATCAAAACTAGAGAGTAAGAGGGCTTGCAGTTAAAGGACGACTTTAACTGCATGAAGTTATCCTTTTGACCATTGTCTCCTTAATCCAGCCTTCTGTAAGCCTTCATTGCAAACATTAGAGTTAATTTAGCTGCAGACCTACCAGTGATGAAACAGAATGCTAAATATCTCCTCATCCACCCAATCAGATCTTGAAAGTATTTCATGTAGAATCATGTGAGTTGCAATAGTTATAGATGTCTGTAAAGAGCTATGCAGTGAGCTGAATAGGGTCCATGTAGCCTGTCCATGACTGGCACCGTTATTTCACTTTTATAGTCTGTAGATGAGGGACAGTTTTGTGCCAAAATAGAAAGCAGCCATAAGGAAAAACTTCACAGAATGCCTGTCGTGTGTCAGGCACATTGTGCACAAGTCCTCTTAGCAAATACGTGAATATACCTGTCACTGCAGTGTACGCATGGAAACACTGAGACCCTTAGAGGCTTTGTCAGGCAAGGACTCTGGAATGAAGGTTGCACGCTGACAAACATGTCCTTCATGGGACAGTAGAGGAGCTCCAGGAACAGAAAACAAATCTTTTCACGAGTACTATCCACGTTGTGGTTTGAAAGACAAGGGCCCCCAGAGGGAGTGGCACTATCAGAAGATGTGGCCTGTTGGAGTGGGTGTGGCCTTTGGGAAGAAGTATGCCATTCTGAGGGCGGGATTTGAGGTCTTTTTCTCAAGTTTTGCTCTGTTTACTTCCTGTTGCCCACAAGATGTAAGACTCTCTGCTTTTTCTCCAGCACCATGTCCACTTGCATGACACCATGCTTCCTGCCATGATGATAATGGATTGAACCTCTGAAACTGTCAGCGAGCTACCCCAACTAAATGTTTTCTTTAGAAGAGTTGCCGTGGTCACAGTGTCTCCTCACAGCAGTAGAAACTTTAAGACGTACGAACGATACTCTACAATAGTAATCTACTCATATGTAAGAATTCCATTTCCACAGTCACAGTTACCACAACATCCAAATACACACTATTTCAGGAGACCACATTCATATAACTTTTATTAATATTGTCATAATTGAATTGTATTAGTAGCTGTTAACCTCTTCTTGTGCTTATGTTTTAAACTAAGGTTTATCGTAGGCATTCATGAATAGGAAAAAAATCATCAGGATGATATTCCAGTACTGTCTATGATTGCAGGAAGGTACAGGGATATTGGAACGCATAGGACCTGGGCCCATAATTTATTAAATGTCTTAGAAGACGAGACCTTGGGTTTGGGAGTGGCAATGATGAAGCTGTAGCCTCAAAATAGTGGCTAAATTCCAGGATGTCGAGCTTCCTTTTTGGCTTGGTTTGGTTTTGTTGAGATGGGGTTTTTCCGTGTAACACTGGCTATCTTTGAACTCACTCTGTAGACTGGGCTTGCCTCAAACTCAGAGATCCACCTGCCTCTGCCTCTGCCTCTGCCTCTGGAGTGCTGGGATTAAAGCTGTGAGTCGTGGCCCCAGAGATGACAAGCTTCTTGGCTGAAGAAAGGTGGAGTTCCCATCTGAGCTAGCCAGATGGGGGGTAGTTTGGAGAGGAGCTCAAAACTGACAGATATTGGGGGAGAAAACAAAACACTACCATGCTATAAAGTCCATCCCCAATGGCAATAGACTTTTCACTCTGGTGATGGTGTTATCTCTACTGTGTGTGAAAAGTCCCTGCTGTCATGAAACCATCTTAAGAAGATAACAACAATCTCTTGGGTGGGGACCATCCTTAAATTGAGGACTTAGCTTCTAAATGGAATTTATCAGAGAGTGGGCAGTGCTAGTGATCAATTGCTGACCCTCCTCTGCATCTCCAAACACTGGCCAGATGAAATCATACCTTTTTCTTTCACTTTTTCATTAAACTCTTACCACCCTTAGCACTCAGATTTCCACTGATAATCTGCACAGTCTTTTGCCCCATCTTGAATTTGATATTGTTCATGTAGGAAGTCATCCATGTGACTGGATAAAGACCTGAGAATCATAGATAGCTCTATTAAGTAAACAGCAGTTCTAGTGGTGATACACACCCTGGATAATGTTATTATTTAATTAAAGGCTAAATTGCAAAAAAATGATAATGTGATTACATGATACTCACAACTGATTTCATGCCTATAATTCCTGTCCTATAGGATGATGAGCCAGGAGTGTTGGTAAAGAGTTCTGGGCCAGCCTAGGCTACATATCCAGAGTGCATCTAAAAAAAATGTGAAAAGCGGCATGGACATCCATCTGACAAAGATGCAGTATATATCAATCTTTACTGACGAGTAGTTATTTTTCCTTTAAAGCCATCTGAGCCTATACTGATGAAAGCTGACGCCCTTCTGTCCACAGCTATATGTAGTAACTCTTCTGTTTTGTGCCTGTTATGCCAGTGTCAAATGTATGAAGAGAGATTGATTTTTGCCCAGAGCTCAGTGTCTAGAAAGACAATGGGAAGGACAGAGGATAAATATTCCTTGTCATCCATAGTGACCTCATGTTAGCACTTGGAGGCCTTGCTGATGCAGATTCTGAGTTCACAAGGCCCTCCTTGATGCCCCTTGTCATCCACACTGCATAGGGCACCTGCAGATACTGCTGTCCCCATAAATGGCCTTATTTCAGCAAGCATGGACCTAGTCTGTGAGCACCCTGAGAACAGAAGGTCCAGAGTGTGCAAAGTTATTCAGAAAGCATGACGTACTTGTGTCTGTAGACATGAATCCGGCCCATGTGGGACCCAAGGACAGATGTTCCTGTGTGTTTTATGTGGCTTTGCTGGTACGCCAAGCCCAGACATCAGTCAAGCCTTGGGAGTTTTCCTTCTAACTGTGTCTGTAGTCCTCAGAAAGCAAATCATTATTCCTAACATCAGAGCCCTGGGAGCAGGGCCACCTTGGAGACACTAGCCCCTGAGGACAGTCAAGGAGCACACCTTTGTTCATATGAGCAGCACATAGAATGCCATT